TCACTCGTGGTCCGATTGGGGAGGGGACCAGAGAAAACTACAGAGTCCGACATTGTTTTGGCAAAGTTACACACCCATTTAATATTAATGTTAGCGACCTCTGACTGATGTAACCGGGGACATTTACTGCCAACATGAACTATAATTTTATGGGATTTGCCCTTTCAGCCAGCAGTTTCACTACAGAGGCTGGTGCCTTTAGCTTCACATGTCTTATAAATGAATCGCTGATAACCAGACTCTGTTTCTCGGTGGGTGTATGGCCGAGTGGGGAAAAACCATTAGAGACATGGACAGGTTTGTAGTGTCCTGGATGCTTCTTAGGGCTACGCTTCCTCCTCACCATCGCCCAAACATACTGTGTAGCTGTGTAGCAGACAGAGAATGACCAGCTTCATCTTAGACATCACACTTTATACTCCTCTGAATGAAGGATTACAGTCTCAGTAGCTATTAGTCATCTGAATAAGTGACAAAGTCTGCACATATCTGTTCCATTTATTTATTTATTTGTAATCTGAGTATTTATTAGAGCGTTTTTAGCTTTTTTGGTCGTGGAGTATTTTTAATCTGAGGGCTTGAACTTGTAGTTTTAGTGAGCACTCGCTCTTTTCTCTGGGAATATTTTCCAGTGTCTGTTAAAATGGTTGCCTGCTCATTTAACTGCACAACAAAACTAGCCGAGGGCATCAATAAAAGAACCTGAACGGGATCACATTCATGTGTAGGTTAGCTAACAGGAAGTTAGCTGTTCTGACTGGAGACGTACATCACTGCACCAACCCTCAGCAGCAGATTAATGCCTGAGAGTTCAAACAAACTACATGTGTTAACAAAGGTAACGGTTGTTCTACGGACCAGTGTGATGTGTAATAATATGTGGACAACAATGGAAATCTGTACACAAGATTTATTGACAAGAAGGAAAACACAGCACCAGAGCAGGCTCATATTGGATGGAGATGTGCTGCGCTGTTAACCAAGAAGAAAAAAAATCCAATTGAAATAATGGAAATAGTTTAAAGTTTAACTCACGTTACATTTTCCAAAGCGGGTGTAACGCCTGCCGCTCTCTGTCACACTGTAGATGTAGATGAAATTGTCATGTGATCCGACAGCTAGGAAGCTGCCATCTGAAAAACAAGACTCAGAGTCAAAGAGGATCCCCACTGTGAAACTTTGGTACATCCCACCCTCTCTCTTTATTCGTTTCCTGTCTCTGTGTCTACTGTGGCAAATAACAAAATCAATGCTGAAATAACTCATAAACTATGATTGGGATTTTTTTTGACTATGATTTATTTGGCTTCAAAGAACGAAAATTTAAAACCAAAAACAAAAGAAAAAAATCTTTTATCCGCGAACAACAGTTTTAAGCTTTAACTCAAAGTTTGCTGCATGTATTTTGTGTGAAGAAGGTCCACATGGTTGGATGTGAACACCACCCTAATCTGTCACATCTACAGTTAATATAGGAGGAGGAGTTACTGACTGACCTGGTGAATATCTCATGACAGACAGCTGCTCATTCCCGTCAGTGGATTCAGAAACGACCTCCCTGGTCAGCAGGTCAAGGACCATCCACCTGTCAGTGTTACAGGGGGTGGAGGAGGAGACAGGTGGAGAGTCAGAGAAAAGAACAGACTGGAATGCTCACGGCTAAATTCTCCATCTTTTCTTCTT